GCATCTTACGTTTCTAACTTGCAATATCATTATTTCCGCTCTCTTCACTCCAGAAGAGCGATCTCCCTGTGTCTCTCTGTGTGCGGGGCCTAACAGACATGCTACAGCGGACACAGAGATATGCCGGGGACGGAGCGTTCAGAGAGTATAGAGACACATTTTGACTAAAAGTTGACTAAAATGTAATTTTTCATCGACTAAAAGTTGACTAAAACGTTTTGAGTTTTCGTCGACTAAAACTAGACTAAAACTACGAAGGATAGGAATGACTAAAATGTGACTAAAACTAATAACCATTTTCGTCTAAAGACTAAGACTAAATCAAAAACAGATGCCAAAATTAACACTGAAATATGCGAACACAAACCTACAGACTGGGGGTTGGGAGATCACAGGAGGGGGGGGGGGGGGGGGAGAGCTGTGGAATGTGACCTTCCCCCTTTGGAGACTTACTCTACACATTCCGATGGCCAATTAGTTTTAAACAAAGAGTTTGCAGCATACAGCATAGGCAACATGGGGGGTGGGGGCTTCTCAAAATATTTTTGTTTGTTGTTGTTTTGTGTCAGTTTTACGTCGCCACTTCCATTCACATTTGTCATCATTGTTCCACAATGTTTATCATCAAATTAATATCCATATATTTTATACTATACTTGCACTGCTTACCGTTTTCATGCTTTATATATCTTAGCATATTCATACACACTGTTAATACTGCTCACAGGCTGCTAGTGTATTCATACCCCTCACTGTTTATTCATCATTCAATTCATTCTATATTTTATTCTGTAGATTGTGTACATTACTTTTCACTTTACTGCTTGTTGCACCGTTAGAAGCTAAACTGCATTTTGTTGCATTTCATTTTCGTTACCTGTAATCTGTGCAATAACAATAAAGCAGGCATCTTTATTGTAGCCTCAACAATCAAGTTCTAAGTAGTGCAATATGAAATAAAAACAACTACACTCTTTTGGCAGTGTTGTGGTGCCGAGAGTTGGGAGTCGGAGGCGGGGTATCAAAGGTACAAGCTAGACTTTTATTTAGCATCTGAAAACCATTGTAAACAACTTCATTCCCGGGAAGCGAAGACCGGCGGAAACAGGAAGTCCGGTTCACTAAAATGTCCGTGCAGAACAATACCCCAACCCATAGATCCGTGGGTGAATAATGTCAATCACCACAGTGTACACATTAACAACAACTACACTATTTTGGCAGTGTAACAATTAAACAAGAACTACACTCTTTTGGCAGTAACAATTAGATAAATAATAAACTGTCAGACTGACACTGAAGACAAACAAACAATTTTCAGCAATCAATCTGTTTAGTTGACTCTGGGTGACATGTGGCGATTTAAAAAAATCGTTTTTTGGCTGTTTAGATGGTGTTGCTCCATCTGGGTCACTGCCGGTGGTTGAGACAGTGGGGTCTTTGGCGACTAGTTTTATAGCCTCATGTACATTACTTAGGTGCTCCAGGAGATTGGCATTGCTGTTATTCGATGTGGACAATGCTTTTTGTCCTGCACACAGTTTACATTTGACCATAATATTTTGTGCGTCCTTTATCCCCACAAATTGAAAATAGTGGTTATATCTCCAAGTTGTAAATGCGATGCCGCTCTCGCTGATACTTGCATCTGCCATAGTGTGTGTGTGTGCTGGTGGTGAGCATTGCCGTGTATATGTGTGTGTTAGCAAGTGTTTGTGTGTCTGTGTATTTTCCCCATAAGGCAAGACCCGCCCAACTCTGTCTCTGATTGGCTTACCCTGAAATGTTACCCCGCGTTAACCAATCATCACTCCTCTCTGGTCACTTTCACTTTTCCATGGTACTGTGAGAGGACATCGCTGTATTCGCCTGTAAGCTACATCCGCAGGGAGATTCGGTTCAGTTCCATCACATAATGTAACGCAGTATAACCCATTTCAATCACAGTAACTATAACGGCGTTACTGAATGGGAATAGGTAACTAGTAACGTTATTAGTTACCGCAAAAGGTAGTTGCGTTACAGTAATGCGTTAGTTTGTAACACATTAGTCCCAACACTGGTACACACCTGGGGCCTCATTTACAAAGGGATATACGCTCAAAAAATGGCGTACGCCAGATTCTACGCAATGTTTGTGTTTTATAAAATACTAACTTAACGGGAAAATGTGCGGTCCTCCACGCAAACTCTAACCCATGCGTACGCACTAAGCACAAACACGGGAGGGACGAGAAACTGCGACACCGTTGGCAGAAGGAAGAATGGAGAAATATGTGGAAATAATACCATAAATAAAATGTTACCTCTCTTATCATATATGAATAATTCATTTTCAAACATTGATTAAAGCCAATCTTAAAATGATTAAACAAACGCCTGTTTGCGACTCCTCAGTGCACACAAAACGTAACTTGGAGAAATAAATAAATACGGATATGTTATTTAAAACCATCTAGAATATGTTGTGTTAATGTTATGAAATGTTTTCTCATAAATGATGCGTTAAGCAGGAGGACAGAATTACGTCTAAACTGACGCCGTTTTGCATTTCCATAGGTTGTAGATACGAGCATGGTTTTATATACTATCACGTTTAATTGTGTTTTATGCCGTTTGCCAAGACTTGATAAGTCGCTCGTAAAACACAGGAGGTATGGAAACTAAGAACACCATATGTGGTAAATTGTACAGCTAATATAACACAACACATTAGTTGTATTTCCTTTAACTGGTGGATTATGGATATATAGTTGCTGAACGAAAGCTGGAACACAAACCACCAAATACAAACAAATAATTCAGATCCAGTCGTCATGACTCCACTCCGGAGGGATTCCCCCGATCATTTCTTACAGTTTCTCATCAAGGGGGTGTCTCCTGTCCCCGGTACAAACACACTGCCTGAGGAAGGCTATGTGTATTAGTTTTATCATTAACCTTTTTCGGACCACTTCTTTATTTATTTTGGTGACGATCCGACCTCCATGCTGCTACTCTGGTTCAAACTGCATCCACCAAACAATATGATTTATCTCGACCTCCCCAAAATAACCAAAATATGACGCGGTGTGGGATGTATTTTTTAGCTGTTCTGTCGTCATTTCCTGCGATCTTCTTCATAAAGTCAGTCAAAATGAATGAATGGGCGTTTCTTTGACTATTTATAGGCAAATATGGGCGTTACGTGAAGCCCGCAAAAGCTGCACCGCATTTCGAGTCGATTGTGATTTATAAAGGGAAACCGGCGTAGGAAGTGCCGTACGCACTTTCCTCGCCGGTACGCAATGTTTGGTGAATCGGAAAATGTCGGAACATTTCTGTACCTATTTTTTGGATTTCTACTACGTAAGCAACCTTCCCACGTGAATCCTACGCACAGCGTTATAAATGAGGCCCCTGATCACCTGAGAGCTGCCGTTTCATTCAGACTGTTTAAAAAAAAACAACGGTCTGATTTTAACAACTCAATGTGTGATTGTTATAGCAGTAATATTAGACACTAATAATACAGTAAACTATTAACACTGTACATATTATTGTTTGCCCGTGGGATTAGGATGATCGGTAGTGAGAGCCGTGCTGCATTTTCCTCCGGTCGGATGTGATATAAAAACAAAGCGATTATTTTTGTTGTTGTAATCTCACGTGGATTAAACTACATGTATTAGTGCATTCATTTCAATTTGCGAACATATGATACATTAAATTATCGTGAGGATGATGATTGAAAATCGTTTGTTTGAGCCGGGCTGCATTTCCTAATGAAAAAACATAGCGATGGTTTTGTACTTACACCTATGTGAATTAAACAACATTATTTTGTTAAATAAAAACATGGTGATGTTTTGTAAATGATTACATGTCTCTTATTTAGCACAGAATATGATCCTATCCGTGACATATGGATCTTAACAAATATCCTATCAGATACCTGTAGATCTATCAGCTGTTTATTTCACATGAGTTCCAGTGTGGCAGCTTTTCACGGCTCCCCCTGGTGGATCCATGATCCATTGCAGCTGGTTTAATTAAAATTACATTTATTTATCAAGGGGGCGTATCAAGTCCTGCGGGGGGGTTTTCCTTTTCAGCAGGGGCCCACCCCGTGCCGATCACGGACCCGCACGGAAAAATGACCCGTCTGAAATGAAGCGCTACATCTGTACATAAATATGTGTCCCCGGTGCGTCGGGGAACTCACACAGCATCAGAAAATAAAACCCTCTCTCTTTTCCTCCGTACCCAAATCTTTTAAAAACGGGTGTACAACGAGCGGATACAGATTCCATCCGTTGTGACGTCATAGCGGCGGCGGACCCACAGAAAGTTGCTATCAGAAACAATGCCTGATGTGTTTTGGACATTTGTGTTTACATTAGCAAGCTAACAGAGCTAACCTGTGTTTAAAAAGCAGGAAATAAAAAGAGAACTCACCTTGTGATAAACCTGCAAGAGAAAAAGCATTTGAGCTCCATACTATTTCAGAAATAATCCTTGACGTGGTTTAAACAGGATGGCGTTTTATCACAACCGAATGTAACTTTATCTCCGGTAGAATTCTGATCAGGCATTAGCTCCGCCTCCTCTTTTTTTTTTTCAAGCTAAGGACCCACAATCTGCGTTTCTCTAACAGGGCTGCAAAAGAGGGGTTTGAGCAGTATGAGGGATGGCTACAATGGGTGATCTGTTTGGTATTTTGAAAAAAAACAACTTCACAGACATGTTTTATATAGGTATGGCCCTACAATATATTTTTCAAATATAGCATGATAGGTCCACTTTAATCTGTAAAATAAATGTAGTGGAGTAAAAAGTAAAACATTTGCCAACAAAATGTAGTAGAGTAAAGGTATAAAGTGGCCGAATGAGAAAACACTCAAGTAAAGTACAAGTAATTCAATATTTTACTTTATATGTTACATCCCACCACTGGTCAGGAGAGCAGGTGATTACTCATACTGCACTGGTACCATCAAACTCCCCTCCCCCACACACACCTGTACGCAGACTGGAGAAAGGCAGGGTGTATTGTCCCAGGAAGTCGTTGCTGGAGGTGTAGTCATGGTCCTCCACCAGGAAGCGGACCAGAGCCAGGTCAGGAGCGTGGATGGTGAAGTTGAAGGTGCAGTCCCAGCGGGGGTTAAAACCTGAAACAAGCCGGAACACTTACTGACAGACCTATCCACAACGAAAAAACTTCAAAATACAGTTATACGAAATGTGTTGACATAGTACATCAGTTTGTTCAGTGTACACCAAGTTAGAGTTCCCCTTTATTGACATCTCCAGAAATGTTTAAAAAAATGTACCATACTACACACAAGGTGGTGTGTATAAAAGCTGCCCTCTGCTCCTGATACTAGGATGAGCTAAATGCAGAGGGTAAATATCACAGTGTGTGCAGTGCTGTATACATACCCGTGTGTGACGATAAAGAGGGAAATCGATCATTTAAATAATCAATTTCCATTCCAAACTGGATGTTATTTTACACTATCAATTAAAGGGGACCTATCATGCAAAATGCACTTTTGTACGTCTTTTATACATGAATATGTGTCCCCGGTGTGTCAGGGAACTCACCAAGTGTCAGAAAACACAACCCTCTCTCTTTTCCTCCATACCCAAATCTCTAAAAAAACGGGGCTGCAACGGATCTGATACAGACTAGTAGTAAAACACATGCCGCGTTCGTCTCATTAGTATGCATACAAAAGTGACAGGTCACACCTCCCCCACTTATGCAAATGAGCTAAGTCCCGCCTCCCATTTGGTCGAGGTGTGAAATCCCAAGGTGTGATATCCCAAGTAGGTGTGAGATCCGTCGATAGGAGGGGGGTGATGTGTATTCACAGGTGTGAAAGGCCCCCACTGTTGCGCCTTATGGCGCCTAATAAAAATAAAACAAATTAAAAAATGTAAAATGAAAATAAAAAAAATTAAATAAAATGCTGCTTCAATCACATTAGTATGTATAGAAAGTGACAGATGGGCCCGCCCCCCCCAATTATGCTGATGATGTCCCCCACCGTCCCCCTCACACCCCTTCCTGTCTCCTCCCGTCCCCTCACCCCCCTTCCTTTGACTGTGATGTCAGAAGACAGTGGGGGGTGGAGTTAGATAAAAAAATAAAAAACCAGTCGTTTCCACTCATCAAGTCACCTTTCAAAAAAGAAAAATGGCCAAGAGACGCCTCGATATGGGTTTAATCAGCGAGACGCCTGTGACAACTTACAGCCATCTGGCGGGAGCGCCAATCAAGAAACGGATGCAGTATATGTGCCGGGTTCAGACGCCTCCAGCCGAAGAACTTCATGAAGAATGGACTCTGAAAAATGGCGATGTTTGGGGTTATGTATTCAACTATATGGCGAATGGACTGCATTTCTACAATCTGAAGAATGGAGAAACGTATGGACCCCGCAGTGTTAACCTCAACAGATTGGGCTGTGTTAACTCTGGTGTCTTACAGAGATCTCCACGCAACCACTGTATCGGAGGAAGTAGTGCATCAAGAAACCATAGTGGAACCAGCGGTGTACAAGATATTTGCAAAGAAAAGCAAAGAAACACAGACAGCATGCGAGATCAAAGAAGAGTTTTCACCGCTACCCCTCAATGTGGAGGAAGAGGAAGAAGATATTCCCCCGCCGCCAGAAATGAGAAGAGTCCTGACAAGCACCGTCTGGGAAACTAAAAACGGACCATCTGGGCGATGGTATTACCGCGCAAGCCGTTAGGTGACGCTGGGGAAGGACCCCTCTGATGATTTTGTTTTGGAGTATTTCAACTCTACATGTGGGGTTTTTCAAACATCCTTGCGTGTGCCTCTGACTGCTTGGCTGAAAATGATTGATGAGAAATCTACAAAGCTTAAAGAACTTAAAGTCAGACATCGATGGACATTATACTGGTGAAAAAGACTCTCACTTTTGCAGATGACTCCTCCTCCCACTCAGCATAACAAGTCCCACCCCGACTAACATTACTTTTTTTAAATATATATATATTTTTTTAGATGCTCTACTTTTGATTTCTTTCATGTTATTTGCAAGTTAGCGTCCAAATGTTTGGAAGATAAGGAGGAAGGACAATCAATACTGTATATAGTAAAGTGTGTCACCAATGTAACCGGTTAGAACTCAAAGTGGCGATGAGGTCTTAAAATGTATGGAAAGGGTCTTAACAAAGGTCTTAAAAAGGTATTACATTTGACTTCAGGATTCCTGCATACCCCCTGAATTAGCATGAATTAACATGATAGCGTATGTAACAATAGTTAAGAATACAGTTCTGGCTGATTTGGACAATCTTGGAGTGGTTTGGGGAGTTATTGAGGAAGTCAAGGATCAATTTCAGAACCAATGTATGTAGTTGTTTTGCTTGACATAATCACAGTGCTTCGCCTGCAGATGCCCTGCTGGCACCTTTTATCCAGCTCTGCAAAGTTGCAGTCCTTTTAGCTGCCTCCTTCAGATTTCTCTCTCTCTCTCTCTCTCTCTCTGCTTCAGTCTCCTCTGTCTTGAAGGCATTCTTAAACACAGAAATGTAACATTAGGCTATGCATAAAATAACCAAACGATTATTACATTAACTAATTTGAACAGTAATTCACATCATCATCTCATAACAAAATAAGCTAAGGCAACTACTTGCATTCAGTGACTTGATTTTTTTAAATGAAAACCAGGGATATCTTTTGTTTTGCGGTCCATATCTCATTAAAAATATCTAATGTTAGTAACTATTAAAGAAAGAATGGGGACAATTCTGTTTTAATGTAGTTTGACCATTGTAACTGCTGTGCAGACATGCTGATAAAATAGGGCTTCTAACTAATTACCTTAAATAAACTCACTAATTAATGAAACCAGTTCAATACGCATTATTCTTATTCTTATCATTCTTTATGAGCGCAGTAACGGTAAGGTATCTAATTACTTATTTATCTAGTATTCCATCACATAATAACAGAGATGGTCAAACTGAAGTAGAGACATGGCAGAAATCCTACAATGAAGCGGGACAGTAAAGGGGAAGTCTCTTTGAAGAGGGTATTAATAGTTTAAAGATCTTAATGCCCCCTTGATCATGTATTTTCTTTTTTAAAAGACTGTTTCTCTAAAAGGCAAGTTTTGTGATTTTAAGACTTTTTACAGACACTCGGCAGATTTGTGTGTAATTCTCTCACAAAGGAACAGTAAGTCTCTTACTTTTTTTGATAGCGTTTTTTATGTATGACAACTTTACAACTGGTAGAAAGTTAAGTACTTTTTCTGAGCAGATTGTCCGGTGAGTATGCTGTCCGTGCAAGAACTGGGATGTGTTCAGCCTCCAGGAATTGTGTACAGATCCTTGCAACATGGGGCCGTGCATTATCATGCTGCAACATGAGGTGATGGTCGTGGATGAATGGCACAACAATGGGCCTCAGGATCTCGTCATGGTATCTCTGTGCATTCACAATGCCATCAATAAAATGCACCTGTGTTCGTCGTCCATAACATACGCCTGCCCATACGATAACCTCACCACCACCATGGGCCACTTGATTCACAACATTGACATCAGTAAACCGCTCACCCACACGACGCCACACACGCTGTCTGCCATCTGCCCTGAACAGTGAAAACCGGGATTCATCCGTGAAGAGAACACCTCTCCAACGTGCCAGACGCCATCGAATGTGAGCATTTGTCCACTCAAGTCGGTTACGACGACGAACCGAAGTCAGGTCGAGACCCCGATGAGGACGACGAGCATGCAGATGAGCTTCCCTGAGACGGTTTCTGACAGTTTGTGCAGAAATTCTTTGGTTATGCAAACCGATTGTTGCAGCAGCTGTCCGAGTGGCTGGTCTCAGACGATCTTGGAGGTGAACATGCTGGATGTGGAGGTCCTGGGCTGGTGTGGTTACACGTGGTCTGCGGTTGTGAGGCCGGTTGGATGTACTGCCAAATTCTCTGAAACGCCTTTGGAGACGGCTTATGGTAGAGAAATGAACATTCAATTCACGGGCAACAGCTCTGGTGGACATTCCTGCTGTCAGCATGCCAATTGCACGCTCCCTCAAAACTTGCGACATCTGTGGCATTGTGCTGTGTGACAAAACTGAACATTTTAGAGTGGCCTTTTATTGTGGCCAGCCTAAGGCACACCTGTGCAATAATCATGCTGTCTAATCAGCATCTTGGTATGCCACACCTGTGAGGTGGGATGGATTATCTCGGCAAAGGAGAAGTGCTCACTATCACAGATCTTTTCAGATTTGTGAACAATATTTGAGAGAAATGGTTATTTTGTGTATATAGAAAATGTTTTAGATCTTTGAGTTCATCTCATGAAAATGGGAGCAAAAACAAAAGTGTTGCATTTATATTTTTGTTCAGTGTATTATTCAAATATAGCATGATAGGTCCGCTTTAAATAAAAGTGTTTTTGTTACATAAAACAACTATCAATGTTGTAGTTTTCAAGATCTATAATTAGCATAAGCATTGGCCATGCATTACATGTATGATCTATCTACCAAAAAGGTTGCTACTGCCTTTAATTGGTCAAAAGTTCTTGGGTCAATAGAGTAGGCATTTACCATTGTTGTCCACATGAGGCGTTTTCTTCTTGTTGATGTCGATGGGAACACCATGAACCTCCACCCACACATGAGGGTCCACGATGGAGGTGGGTTTGTCCCAGTCTGGTTTAGGCAGCTGCTGAGCCGAGATGACCTGAAAAACAATAAAAACAGAGCATCATTTCATTAGAGAATCATTATTCTGAGAGCAAGAAAAGCTTATCTGGCAACAGTTCAAACACTAATGCAACTACACTCTTATTTCCTCCATGGCTCATGTTAAAAATCATGTGTATACAGTACATTGCATTTAATCACATTAACGGTGAATATTTTTGTGTATGAGGCTTACTGGCAGTGAATGCCGGGGGATTACAGTAGTTGTATCATTGCATTGTTTTCTATCGTGTGTTTTGTATCAGTGCAAACTATTGTCTCATTTGTAAATGCTTATACTTTGCTTTACATTGTCATTTTTTATCCACTTCTTTAAGTTGTAGCGTAAAACCTTTGTTATGCCTTCTGGACATTTTATAAAAATAATTGTGGTTTTATGCTAGGCAGAATCATTATCTGTCCAGAACCGAATGACAGTTTGGCAGCCCTACCCGGAAAGTGAGCAGCACAGGTCTGTGGCCTGGACCCCCCCCAACGTTCTCCGGGTTGAATTTGGTGTCCGGCTGGCACATGAAGGGGGGCTTCAACATGTACCCACACTGACTGTTCTGCAGGAAGCGGCCCTGATTCAGGTCCATCTGCTCACATGGGGTCTGAAAATTCAAAGCAACTGGAGAACACACACAGATGTGTTAGCGGCACACCATCAGACTGAGGTCACCTGCAACAGTCTCTTTCACTGTTTTACTTTATTGTTTTATGTCTTATATTTATATATACAGGTTTTGGGAGTAATGGATTACATCATCAGGATACAAAAAAAAGTTTGTATCCAATTTTTTAAATATAGATCGATATATTATAGTTAGATAAATTGTTGGGATATATATTCAGGATACTTTAATTCCTCTTTTTAAATACCTTTATTTTTTTAATGCAGTAGTGGACACCTGATTTATTAAACAAAAATATGTCTATGCTTTGGATTAATGTATACATCTTAAACAGCATTTATAAACTATTACTGTTACAACATTTTGAATATGAAATATCTTGGTTTTCTTCTTTTATAAGGTTACATTGTTACATACACGTAAGTAAAAAACCTCATGTCTTATCTTATCAACATATATATTTTGATACTTTTTTTTGACAAGTTATTTTAACGGATTACATTTTTAAATGAACCCTCCCAACCCTGTTTATATATTTGTATGGCATTGTTGTAGGAGCCGAGGACTTTAGATTTCAATATCAAGAAGTACACTGTAGCTACTGTGCATAGGACGATAAAGCTTTGAATCATTTGAGAGGAAAGTAGGAACTAAGATTGTATGACTTGTTGACTCTGTTTCTCCTGGGACATTAAATCAGCTCTCACCAATTTGACAGCCTGCGTTCCACATCTCCTGAGGGTTGTAGTTGGAGGACTGGAGGCGCTGGCCTGATGGGTAAATCCTGCTGAGCTGGTGGCTGTTGTGACGCACAAAGTACATCCCTGGAGGACAAGAGAGCACCAATTAGTCCAATTATAAACTAAAGAAAGGCACATTTAGTACTCTGTTACAAGTAGGGATGGGTATCGAGAACCGGTACTTAGTCAGTACCGGTAGCCGATTGGACGGTATCGGTATACCGTTAAGCCGCTGGACAAACGGTGCTGCTATCGGTATATGAATTACGCTACTTCCTTAATTTAAACAATTCTGGTTGGTTGGGAACCCTCATCCCGTGTGACATATCCGGTTTGAGTACCCCTCTGATTGGCCACTGTGAATGCCACTCGTCATCTCTCCTCACAGCACTCTTATTATTGTGAGACTCCCGGGGGGAAACGCAACATCTTGCAAGAAACAGCATCTTAACATTTAACAACCTATTAATGATGCATACCCACTTAACGGGAAGAAACTCAGCTAACAGACGATATTAGAGATGTCCCGATCCGATCACGTGATCGGGGATCGGAGCCGATCACGTTATTTTTAAAAGATCGGAATCGGGAGAAAAAGATCGGGGATAGGGAATCCTTAAAACAATTATTTTATTTAATGTTACAAAACAAAAATGACCATGTTCACATCTTATAGTCATCCTGAGTCCTTAGTTTTGGTTTAAAATGACACAACATCATGTATGTGTTCTTTTGGGCTTGTTTTCATAGACCTGGTTGCTTATTCCTCTCAAATCTGGCAACAGAGTGGGCGCAGTGTCTAATAGTAGCAGTAAGCTAACGAGAGGCTACGTTCAGCTGGTGACTCGGGAGTCGGGACAGAGCAAATGTCAGGAGTTTGGAAGTATTATAAAATTGAAAGCGAAGGCAGTGTAACAGCCAGATGCAATGTTTGCAAGAAGGAGGTTCCGCGTGGTGGAAAGAACAGAGCTACGTTCAACACGACCAATCTAATACGATTGTTTATTTTTGTTTTGTTACTGCACTATCTGCACTCAATTTGTTTACATGGTTATTTTGTGGTGGACCACTGATAAGCTTTATTTTGTTTTGATCCAATGCTGCACAACTGAACTGATCCAATGCTGCTGTGAAAAAAAGAAGCTATATCCATGTTGGATAGAATGGATAGTTGGGTACTGTCATTTAAATAAAAAAATAACCTTAAGGGACAACTTGAATGCTTTTTTCCTTTTTTTTCTCTTAATGCATTGCATAAAGATCGGATCGGGAAAAATCGGTATCGGCAGATTGTCAAAATCAAATGATCGGAATCGGATCGAGAGCAAAAAAAGGTGATCGGGACATCCCTAGACGATATCAACAATTTTTACCAACACGGAACAGAAGTCCAACACTAAATCAACACTTAACGGCTAACGGGGCTAACTTTAGCACATAACTGGCAAAAGCGATCTTTTCTGTTGTCTGCACAAACAACATATCACATGAAAGCTGAGATTCCACAGATTCCAGTGGTATAAGTCTCATCACTGTACAACCAAAACTCACTGAACTATAGCAGCCAGGAAAGAGCAAGAAAACAACTTCACTTTACGTAGCCATGATGATAATGATGTCTTACCTTTGCTGTTTTGTGATCAAAAATTGTATTCAAGGGCATAAAAACGCTGCAGAAGGTTAATCTACGGTAATCCGGAAGTGCAAGTCAAAACAACATTTCACAAAACATTACAGCATTTCATGAAACACAACGACATTTCAGAAAACACTTCAGCATTTCACAAAACGCTACAGCATTTCACAAAACACCACAGCATTTCACAAAACACTTCAACATTTCAACTTTTACGGAAAGGGTATCCCTGTAGGGAGAACTCTTCTTGTTTGTGATTGGACAGAGGCTGCCAGAGAAGCACTGCTGTTGTTTTTGCTGCCAGTCAAGAAATGACGCTTCGTGATTGGTCAGCACCCGACAGCGCAACATGTCCCAAAACATCAGCCGTTAGCTGTTAGCACACAGAGCTCACAGCTCCTCATTTCTGTTCAGAAACTGGACAAAAGTTAAACATGTACAAACCACAGACTATCAGTGTTATGGCGAATACAGTCACTGGTGTATCTGTGTCTGTATCATGTTGTTGTGAGTTTGGACAGAGCAGCTACAGGTTAGTTTAGCCCAGTGGTTCTCAAACTTTTTCTGTCATTCCCCACTTTGAACAGGTGGGCCTTTTCAAGCCCCACCTGTCCCTCATCGCGTCCATTCGCGACCCACCTATCACATCTCTGCGCCCCACTTTGAGAAACGCTGGTTTAGCCTGATCGATCCGATCTCCATTCAGAAAAACACGCATTTTAAAAGGTTTTTCACCTGCCGTCTTGTCTGCACACTTGTCTGTCAAAGCATTAATTCATGGTTTTTACTAACTGGTATCAACCAAGTTAAACAAGTACAAACCACAGACTGCCTGTGTCATGGCGAATACAGTCGCTGGTTTATTTATGTCTGTATAGGCCGTTGTTGTGAGTGTGGACGGTCGGAGCATATATAACGTTAATCGGTATCAGTATGTTGTTACTTCGGCATCATTTTGAAATGTGTATTACAATCAATTCACGGTCAAATATGTTCATTTTGTTGGAGTCTACCATAGTATTTACATGGAGATAAGCCCTGAATATTCGCATAGCTCTAGTTTCACCACAGCTGTCAGCTGTGTTTACTCCTGTCATTCAAACAAGACGCGCTGGAGAGGGGGCGGAGCTTATATCCATGCAAATACTATGATAGATACCAACTACAACAAAATGAACATATTTTACCGTGATTTAATTATAATACACGTTCCAAAATGATGCCGAAGTAACAACATACTGATACCGGTTAGTAAGAACCATGAATTAATGCTTTGACAAGTGTGCAGACAAGACGGCAGGTGAAAAACCTTTTAAAATGCGTGTTTTCTGAATGGATATCGGATCGATCAGGCTAAATGAACCTGTAGCTGCTCCGTCCAAACTCACAACAACGTCATACAGACAGAAATAAAGCAGCGACTGTATTCGCCACGACAGTCTGTGTTTTGTACTTGTTTAACTTTTGTCCAGTTTCTGAACAGATATGAGGAGCTGTGAGCTCTGTGTGCTAACAGCTAACGGTTGATGTTTTGGGACATGTTGCGCTGTCGGGTGCTGACCAATCACGAAGCGTCATTTCTTGACTGGCAGCAAAAACAACCAATCACAGCAGTGCTTTTCTGGCTGGCTCTGTCCAATCACAAACAAGAAGTGTTTCCCTAAAGTTTTTTAAGTTTTCCTAAGGTTTTCCCGGGTCGCCGAGGGTGCTGGCGTTGTTTGTTCGCCGCTCCTCCGCCCCAAATATTGTACTTTAGTCCAGATCAGAACCTCTCCTGTCTGGCTCTCTACTTTTGAAACGTCAGTCATCAGCAAAAATAGCAGCATCTCTATATCGAATCGACACAGAACTTTGTGTTGTCATCTCCTACCTGCTGGCTCTTTCCTGCTCACCGGTCCCTAGCCCGTAGGGTTGCCAACTTCCAGAAACACATGCATGTGTCCCCCGCGCGCACGAAGATTTTCGGGTTTCTGGCGGATTTAGTTACTTTTTTTTGTTACTTTAATTCGGTTTTAGGGTTAGGGCAGTGGCGGCTGGTGGAAAATATTTTTGGTGGGGCTGTTGATATAGTGAGTAAAACATTTTTTTTTTGGAGAAATGACCCCTTAAATTAGGACTTCTGGTGATGTAATGGCGCGTTTCCAGTGCAGCGCGGAGCTCGCTTTAATGCTGCGTTCAGACTGGACGCGATGCGAATATTCGCTTCGCTCTAAACGCTCCTATCGCATCGCTCTAGTCCAGGGGAGGCCAACCAGTCAGAGGTTAAGAGCCACATTTTTTTCTATGTTACTGCAAAGAGCCACATCAAACAGTTTTTTGTTTTCTGGAGACAAGATTTCAACCACGTCACTGATGCATTTTTGTGGCATTGGGATATTTTTTTTTTTAAATCCTCTGGAGCAGCTGTGGATTATTGTTATTGATTAATGCATCAGTGTTTCTTAGGGTCAAAAACACTAAACTCACAACTTAAAATGAAAGCGTTTAGTTTATGTAATAAAAGAGCACATGTTCAATGTGAAAAGTGACAGTAGTTATAGATTATTTGCAATTTGGTGCTATATTAAAACATTTTTTTATTATATATATGTTTTAAACACCTTAAATTCCAGGGGCAAGACAATGGTAGGGGAAACACTGGATAGTGTTTAATCAACGATAGGTTTTCCCCCCCTCAAAGGTGATTGGGTCACTGCATCGCAGGTATTATTGTGATTGGCTCTTGGGCCACATCAAAATTAGACGCGCTATCATCCTCTCATACTGACACCACACATACACACGTAGGGAGAGCCGGGCCGAAAGTAACACGGGACGAAAGTAACACGGGACGAAAGTAACGGAGCGATTTTATCCGAGCCCAAACAACTTTGACCGGCCAAATTACGTCAGAATTATTAGCATTCAATACTTAACAGACCTACTCAATATCAGGTTTAACTGTCAGGAGTAGCTAGTGTTGTCACGATACCAACATTTTGGTTTCAATACCAAGTCAAGAATTGCGATTCCGATTATTTTTCGATACTTTTCTTAAAAAAAGGGAAACAGTCTTAAATGTAATTATTGTGCTTTATTTCACACCAGAACCATAACACAAACTTTTAAACAATGAGAACAATAAATAAAATAAATGACAAGAATTCGTATGAAATAAAATCAATAAATTTCTTACAGACGGGCCTCGTGGTGTCCGTAGGCTTGCCCTCACTGTCAGAGATATAGCTAAAATGCTTCCAAATGCAGTAGTGTGGCGTGGGAAAAAAATTAGGGGAAGCCAATTATACGTCCTTTCTTTTGGGTCATAATTGCACTTGTTTGTTTGTTTGTTTGTAGCCTTTATTTAACCAGGTGAAAGCCCCTTGAGATCAAAAGATCTCTTTTTCAAGGGTGACCTTGCTTCAGTTGCTTGCTACTTTCTAACGGCGGTGAGAGTGGTGCAGTGGCG